TTCAGGTTTTAAGTAAAATAATTTCGTCTTCTATGAAAAACTATTTCGACTTTTTTCTCCGAAATTGCAATTTCGGGATCCAAAATAATTTTGCGTGCAAGTATAGTCAGGTTTATCTATAATCACATTATCGTGATCGGGATTTTTAGTGATTATAAAGAATGGTAAATATAGAAATTGTTTTTCCTATAATTACCAATATATAATCGGTAATTATAGAGAATTTTATATATTGGTGAAAATATATTATTATTGTATTTTATATTTATTATATTATTTATTATTTAAAAAAAGAAATACAAATTTTTTTAATTAATTTATTCATATATTTTCAAAAGAAACTTGCTTTTTATTTTTTTTATACATTTTCTCATATAGTGATAATTTTTTATACAATTTATCTTGTGCTATTATTTCATTATCAAAAAGTTATTCTTTATATCTAATTAATGTTTTTAATGTATTTAATACATCAGTTGAAATAATATGAGATGGAGATAACTCTTCTTCTTTTTCTTCAGAATCAGAAGAAATATTATTTTTAATTTTATTATTTACAAGTATCATAGTAACTATTTCAAATTCAGAAAGAATATCTTCAGTTGCAAGAAGTTCATCAATAGTATTAATATAAGTTTCTATTTCAGTAATTAATTTTTGATACATCAGGAAATTTAATTAGGTGTAAATTTACGGAAATATCACATGACCTTCAGCAGAATTACAAAAATTTATAGAAAAATTATAATATAAATTTTTATGAACATTTGAATTTAAACATGAATTTCTTCATGAATATCAATGCTATAGTAATGAAATACATATTATCTTGTAGCAAAAAACAGGGCTTTCGATCTATCTTAGAAATATCTTAGTAGAAAATTACTCCCTGTCACCTAAATCTTAGTCAAAGTTAAAAAATCAAATTTTTCAGTATAAATTTCCAGAAATTTTTTATTACGTTGTTACTAATCAACCTTTTGGACTAATTTTATTTTCCAAAAGGCAATTTACAACTAGCAACTCGTAAACAGTTACTTTAGTTTACG